GACAGAGCGATTGAGTGCACGCACTGAGACGAGAGAGGTATGTATCAACTCGTCTTAGTTAAGGGAATAACATAGTTTAATATGAAAAAAAACGGTGGAGTATCCCTTTAAGGCCAATTCACACCGCACTGGCAGAAGCCGACACAAGGACAATTACCAGATTGCAGTACGTCACTTCTCAGACATTGCACGGCCCGACAATTCAACATGTTCAATAATTACTGACAGAATTTTCATTTTTGGATGAACTAACATGACATCCCATTCTTAATCCGTAGGGTTTAATATGGAGCTGGCCCACACTTAGCTATAACAGTTTCAACTCTACTGGGAAGGCTTTCCACAAGGATTAGGAGTGTGTTTATGGGAATTTTTTTTCCATTCTTTCAGAAGCGCATTTGTGAGGTCAGGCACTGATGTTGGACGAGAATGCCTGGCTCGCAGTCTCCGCTCGAATTCATCCCAAAGGTGTTCTATCAGGTTGAAGTCAGGACTCTGTGCAGGCCAGGGAAGTTCCTCCACGCCAAACTCGCTCATCCATGTCTTTATGGACCTTGCGTTGTGCACTGGTGCGCAGTCATGTTGGAACAGGAAGGGGCCATCCCAAATTGTTCCCACAAAGTTGGGATCATGAAATTGTCCAACATTTCTTGGTATGCTGAAGCATTAAGAGTTCCTTTCATTGGAACTAAGGGGCCAAGCCCAACCCCTGAAAAACAACCCCACACCATAATCCCCCCTCCACCAAACTTTACACTTGGCACTCCAGAGAACTCGTCTCCACAATGGCGGCGTGCTTTACACCACTGTATCCAATGCTTTGCATTGCACTTGGTGATGTAAGGCTTGGATGCAGCTGCTCGGCCATGGAAACCCATTCCATGAAGCTCTCTACGCACTGTTCTTGAGCTAATCTGAAGGCCACACGAAGTTTGGAGGTCTGTAGCTATTGACTCTGCAGAAAGTTGGCGACTTCTGTGCACTGTGCGCCTCATTATGCGCTGACCCCGCTCTGATGTTTCGTGGCTGAGTTGCTGTTGCTGCCAATTGCTTTCACTTTGTTATAATACCACTAACAGTTGACCGTGGAGTATTTATTAGTGAGGAAATTTCACGAATTGACTTGTTGCACAGGTGGCAATCTATCACGGTACCACGCTTGAATTGAGCTCCTGAGAGCGACCCAATCTTTCACAAATGTTTGTAGAAGCAGTCTGCATGCCTAGGTGCTTGATTTTATACAACTGTGGCCATGGAAGTGAATGGAACACCTGAATTCAATTATTTGAAGGGGTGTCCCAATACTTTTGGCAATATAGTGTATGTTTGAACCAGAAACCGATTCAGAAGAAGTGGAAGAGTGAATTATACAGGCTCGTCTACAAGTCCATGTATCAGAATGGTAATGTGTTTTATGTATCGCTTTACAACGTCAGACACATAACGGTAATTAATATGATCAGCCTTTTTCTTGATTACTAATGTTACACATGTTCCTGTTCGCCATCACAGAGTCAGACAGCTGCCTTCTAACAATCATCAGAAATGCTTTGAACAACTCAGAATGTCAGTGGAGAAAGGCATATAGTTCATCATATACATAATTCACCCGCTATATTGCTAAGTCTAATTTTTTATATCAAAAGAAAAATATACCTGGCTTCTCTTGAGACACCCTGTTAATGTGAACTGTCCAAAAAAATTCGCTGTTTGGATTTAAATAGACAAATGCTTAATAAATGTCTATGATTGGATCATTACCGCAGTGATTATTATGTTTCTAGCATGTTATACTGTATGTTTGACAACAGTTCTTCTAAACCTAATTTATAGATGTGTAGTTTTCTTTTCTTCAACAACCATATAGGAAAACATATCATGGCCATATTCCAGAATGAAAACGGCTGGGTTTCCATCCAAACATGAAGCAAATCTTTTCAAAGTTCGCAAAAAAAAAAAAAAAAAAATACGAATTAGGTGCGTTTCCTTCAAGTTGTTCAGCGGATGATGGTGGTATTGGTAACCTAGTAACCAGGCAGTGTATAATAAGTATAATGATAGCCTATGTTAAAGCCCGCCTGCAAGTTGACAGGATTGGTTACAACATGTTTGTGACTTGGAGAACAGGGGCGATTTCAACCCGCGTTTTTGAGACAGTCTTTGGTAAACTGCAGTTTTAAGCAGAAAATAGTGTTGACTGATGAATTTGCACATGGTTTGTCTTTAAGCATATTAAGAACACCACATAGAAATATAAACAACATTAAAAACTTGATTTTCACCACAGGGGGTCTTTAATAACATTTGAATGGATTATCAACATTAGTGTTTTATTGATTTTAATTGTGTATTAATTACTCTAATAACTCCTTGATGTTTTCTTGTTTTGGAATTGTACTTCTCTGAAATGAACACAAGATGGCGGTGCATTATCTTTGCATTAAAGGTCCCATATTGTCAAAAATGAAATTTCCTGGCCTTTTCATGATAACAGAGGTCTAGGGGCTATATAACTACCATATAAGTTTAAAAACAGTCAATCCACACACAAGTGCACACAGCCTGCATAAAGTAGTGTGCTTTTTCACAAGCCGTTGTGACTTCCGTAAAAATGTGATGTCAGAACTATTGTCACCGCCTTCAGTCACCACCCTGAGCACCGCCCACCGTCCCTCACTCCTTTTGTCCAACCCTCTATGGTCCAACCCCAGACAACATCGTTGCTGAGCAAAAACAAAACGGAAACATGTCGAGAAATGTGCGGGACCCAACGCAACAGAGTGCGGTGGGAACTAAATTTGATGGCCGAGTGCGGGCGGTAAGGTACTCGTGTGTGTGGGGGTTGCGGGAGAATAAAACAATTCGCGGAATCGCTGGACTCCCGGAAAATAGAAATATCTAAAAACAAATAAATTATTATTCATATGTTGTCCAAAAAAGCAACAAGAATAACTGAAACTAAATAAAAACGATTTACAGGCCAGAACGAGTTTCTATTTATAATGTTTGCAGGGTTGAGTAATGTAGCCAATCACAGACATTTGTGTTGATTTCTTGAATGCAATGGCCAATGAGATGCATTTAAGATGATCCTCTGATTATAACTAACGAAGTGTTGACATTATGAAAGATTTATTGTGCAGTCAGCTTCATTGAAAATAACGGAGCTTTGTGAGATCGCATGAACTGAGATGTCAGCTTTTTAGGATTAATTAAGGGAGCGCACTTTGCGCTATTTCTGTCATGCCAAACCATGCACGCATAGCCTATGCTTGCTTTTATGTTAAATTAACAATGGTTTGTGAATATTTATGCTTTAATAACAAATCATTTATCACCATCATTACAGGTGTTCTATTTACCTTACTTGTGAGCATCACCAAGCCACAGCAGGCTACAGCATACATGACCCTAGTCACTTGTGTTTGGCCTTGCCGACTTTGCCGTGCTTCACTCAGAAAACAACAGGCCAATCAGAAGAGAGGCTCATGAATATTAATCAGACAGGCCAAAATCGACCTGTTCTTGGCAGAGCTCCTGAGAAAGGGGCTGTAAAAATATATTGAGATGGTTTTTGGTACTTATACCGCAAATTTATATTCTTAAGGACATCAAAACCTAAAATTAAACTCCAGAAATATAGGACCTTTAAGACTGTTTAATAAAGAGATCAATTCCTTCCTTTGATTGGCTCTTTGGATTTTTTTTTCTAGAAAGAGTTTAAATTACAACTGTTGAATGATAATTGCAGTTTGTTTAATAGGTTTAAAATTAGGCTATGGGTCTATTTGTGTTTCTGTGGCACAGAATCCCAAGAACTGTGTTATAAAAGACCAGAAAGGCCACCTCATCGTTAAAGAATCAAAGTTGAGATTTTACCAACCTGCAAAGATTTTTTGCCATCTTCACATGTGTTTTAACCATAGACTGTAAGGTTGTAACCCATCCTTGGATTTTGGCTATAGGTGCTGAAACTGAATTTTGGCGATGAGATTAATCCCTCACAGCACGTGTTCTCTCTCATCCACTTCCTCCGTGTTCAACAAGACACACGTCAGGTCAGATGCAATGAACATAATTTAGCCTGCACGGTAAAAAATAAAAATATTATTGTGAAGATTTTTGAGCTAGAGAAAACGTTGCCATTTGCATTGCTTAAAATTTGTTGCCTATATTCAAATTAACATCGCGTTCATTTTTGGACCAAAGTATTCAGGTAGGCTATTTGTTACGGGTTTTAGCTGTAGCCTATAATATGAGTAAAATAAGGTCTGTGGTTAAAATTACTAGAAAGAGACTTAAATATCTGTTCCATAGGACAGTTACAGTAAACCTTGAATTCTCAAGCAGGTCCTTAGTTGTAGTCTTTGTGTTGCAACTTGTTAGTTTCTTTACTATTCGTGCTTGAGGTTTGACTGTGTGTAAATGTGTGTCACTTCTAGTAATGTTAACCACAGATATTTTATTTTATTTTATTTTACTATGAAGACCAAAACTTTTTAAATCAGAAAATTTCTGAGGAAACCCAAATGCTGGAAAAAGGCTAATGTTGTTCCAGTTGTAGGACTTCTAACTAAACCTCTCTAAAATTTGTATTGGAAAACTTTTTGTATGCACGGTAAAATAAAAAATAAAAAATAAAAATCATAATAGGCCTAGGCTATTCCTTAAAAGATAGCCTAAATTTGTCACCCAATTAGGGTCACCAAAAAGGTTGAACGTGGCAGAAAAAAATGTACTCTATAAAACAAGTTGTTTTGATCATTAGTTATGGCAATACTGCGTTAATTTGGTGTATAACTGATACACAGATTACAGAATAATACAATGGCGGTTCACTACAATGCGCCTGCCCTGTATTACATTATGCCATCATTTGTTCAGCAGTTATCATTGCTATAGTTGAATTTAGGAGCGTGCCAGTTTCTAATCTTCTTAATTAAAACGCCCTCCTGATTGGACAGAGTGATAATCCCGCGGGGCCTCGCGCTCTTACTCACTGGCGTGTAGAACTGCGCGCCAGTCTCAATCTGCCCAGGGCGAGGGCAAGACGCACTGCAAGAACGCGCGCAAGTTCAGACGAGGCGTCTAAAGTGCACACAACATCACTGTCTGCGCGGAAGAGCGTTACGCGAGTGCTCGACGTGATAGGGGAAGAAAGATCTCTATCAAAAAGTGACTTCATTTTCAACAACAGCCCTTTGGAGGACACCCACGAAAGAAAAGAAAGAAGACAGAGCGAGGAAGCTTTCAAGAGCGCGCTCGAAAGTTTTCCATCCGGTCCGTTTTTTGTTTTCGTTTTATTTATTTTCCCCAAAATGAATGCCGGCGAAGAAAACTTGCTGAAATCGATCAGCAACGACACCCTGCTGGACCTGACGCAGCGCTACGGACAGTCCGCCTTCGGCTTCGGCGCTGGCCACGGTGCTGGGAGTCCTGCCCGCTTCTCCCTCACACCTGCCGCGGATTTCCTCTCCGGTCAAACGGGAAAGTCAAACGAAAGTGGCGGAGAGCAGACCAGCGACGAAGACGACGGCTTCGACCACCTCGAGTCTCGAAAGAGAGGCGCGGGCTTCGACGATGATAAGCACCCGGGCGCTCTCGCCAAGAAGCCGAAGGAGCAGAGATCTCTCCGGCTGAGCATCAACGCGCGCGAGCGCAGACGCATGCACGACCTCAATGACGCGCTGGACGGCCTGAGGTCTGTGATTCCCTACGCGCACAGTCCATCCGTGAGAAAACTCTCTAAAATCGCAACTTTGCTTCTTGCAAAAAACTACATCCTAATGCAGGCGCAGGCGCTGGAGGAAATGCGCCGGTTGGTGGCTTATCTAAACCAAGGACAGACTATAACTTCGCCGATTCCCACCTCGCTCGCGCCTTTCGGACAGGCGGCCGTGTATCCGTTTTCGAGCACGGCATTGGCCACCTGCGCGGAGAAATGCAGCTCGTTCTCGGGGACCCCGTCCAATCTGTTCAAACACTGCAACGACAAGCCTTGACTTCCACGGGCTGAACTCTTCCTGCTTCATCCTTATGTTGGTCTGAATTGGAATGGTTTTGTTGGGAATGAGCTTAGGTCTGATTCAAAAGCCCTACGTGTCTAAATAACTACGATGTGTCATCCTGATTTATTAGATAATACATACAACAAAATGTTAACTGAGGCACACAGTATTACTGGAATAAGCTTTTAAACCCCTCAATTTCTAAAGCCTTTTTTGCTTCCCCCCCAAGGATTAAACATGATTATTTGTGTGAAAAACAAACAAACATTAAGAAATTCTATGTTACTTGCTCACAGCTTGCGGAGGATTTATTTCTTAATTCAAACCTTTTCACTTTCGTTGTTGGTGAACTATGCAATTTACTGCAATTTCCCACACTACAATAATTGCTTAACCTGCTTGTCAGAAATTAATAAACGGAAGATGAACTGTCTCACCTCCATCAGTGTATTAAAGCGGTGTAACATTCTCAAATGTTTGGCCTAAAAAGATTTTGTTTTTGTTATTGCACAATTCACTTGATTGTATTGTACAACTGTGAAGAACTACTTGATCAAACCTACAAAGCATTTGGTCTCGTTGCGACATGAGTTTCATACTGTATAGCCTATTGTTTATATGTCTTTATAATTAAAACATATATCTATGACCATCTCTGTTTTTTTCTCCCAAACTCACACTTATTAATTTTTTGCTACCTCTTTTGTTTCATTTCATAACCATTAAATTATTTAAAAAGTCTCGCCTATTGATGGTCCTATGACCCAAATTAAAGCTTCAGTGATTGTTGTTAGTAAACAGGACCTAGCACGTTACCAACACAAAAGTCTGCCACACTTAAGTTCAATTTATGTAGGACTATTGAAGGTTTGTGTCACGATTCTAATGTGTATTGAAGTTGTAATAAATGAGACCGGTCTCTGGTCTTCACTGGTAAGACGCGGCCTGCTGGCGGAAGCGCCCCGGGGCCGAAGGGTCCTGTCCTTGAGTATTTGTGTGATCGTGAATCGGCAGTGTTCTGTAACCTATAGCCCTTCTTCCACTTATTAACACGATTTCAGCGCCTGTCGTCCACAGCCTCATAATGCAAGAGCGCAGCAAAGACAGTTTCATACACACTGCTCTTTAACCAAACCAGACCTTTGTCACTGATCTAACATTGAATCGATATATCACCTCGTTTTGGACTAGTCCTTCCTGATGTTTGTTTAGCCTCAGAGAATATCGTTTTTAATCGTTTTGCCTATTACCAGCAGAGGAGGCAAATATAAAGCTTTACGCGTTCAAATAATTGTAAGAATTAAATGATATTCTTAATACGTTTAAAAGATCATATATTTTTACTTGTTAATTTAATGTAGGCATGTAGCCTACTGTTTTTTCAACTTCTGATTTTCAATAAGAATTTATGTAAAAAAAATTATAATACACTCCTGGGTCATGGCACGAAAAATGTGCCGTTTATTTCCCCAATAAACATAAAACAGTGCCGCTAACAAAAACAAGATGACATCAACTTTTACTTATTATTATAGGAATTCTTTATGACACATAAACAGTAGGTAGCCTAACTTAAATTTGATCTTTTCTTTGGGATTTTTTTTTTGGTCTATCTCCACGCTGTCTTTCCACCTTCTATATTAGCAAATGTTCTCATTTTCTTTAGAAAAACACCGTGGCCCAGGGCAATGGCTAATGAACTGTAGGCTTTAACAACTCTGTTCAAATCCTCAATCCCGTTACCTTTTAAATGCATTCAAATGTTTACATAGCCTATGCTATAGGCCTAGGCAATAGCTCGATATGGGACAATACAAGTTATTCACACTTGTTAAATTGCATAATGAAACTTGTTTGAATATTATTTGCCTGAGGGAATGTTTAAAATCTTTTAGCACAATTAGCAAATATTTATTTTACATATCACAGGCGCATGGCCCTATGCACGAGGATATTTTGAATACCCGTTATTTTAACGTGTATTATCTACACTACTCAAAGTCTGTGTTTTATGGTTAGCCTATTATGAAAAGTGTTCTTTAAAGACAGGATTCCCCTCGCAATCGCATTATGCCATCACTTGTTAACGAGCTTCAGTCTTTGTACCTTTCCACTAAGTGTGCACTCGAGAGAAAGTGATCTTGAGCTCGCGCTGCGTTAAATGAACAGTCATCATCACTCCCAGTGGGGCGTCACCAGCGTACACCCCTGGCATGTCGAACCGGCGCTGTCCTGACACAAGACTTACGACTGAACACTTCTGACAAGGAAGAAAGCGGCGATTTAGAGTGACAAGCGAGCTGCTGTTTCAGTTTTCCTAATCACTCTTGATTTAATCTAATTGGTGTGGATGAGGCCTAAAAATGTGACCGCTGTGATGGAGTTTATTTATTTATTGCTCTTTTAAACTTGTTTAAAGATTTGTTTCTGATAATTGTTGAGGATTACTGCGTGACTGCTGGTTTTAAAGAACTTATAAATAGCTATAAAAAAAGGTTTTGCACAAAAAGGTATAGAGCCTACAGCATGTTTAGGCTACTCACAAGACTTTAGACATCAGCTTTCTAGAAAATGTATTATTTTACCTTCGTGAATGAATTGTATAAGTGAACGAATCCTTTCGTTCTGGTCCATTGTTTTGAAAACGATCGATGTTTTTAACGAATCATTTTTATAATGATGACTCGCAAATAGCTCATTAAAAGACGCTCGTTTATCGCCACCTACCGGCGAGTTTCACAGAGTCGATTATTGTCGGACATTTACGTTAGGTCCACAAAACATATAGCCTATGGTATTTTAAATATTAAATTAAATAATACAGAACGTGAAGCGATACATGCAGGGGAAAGTAAAATAAATATAGGCTATACAAATAATTAGCCTAGCCTAAAGTAACACACATGTAAAAAAGTGTTGTTCACTTAGCCTACATTGTTTTAGTAAGCCCGTTGCCTTACAATTATTTGACAATTATACTTGACAATTCCACATGACTTAATTGTTTCGCATAATAATTTGAAGGTAACGGGTTTCCTCGATTTTTTAAAGCTAAGTCAACTGATCACTTCTTACAGTAATTTACAACAAAATATCTGAGTTACTTTTTCAAATACGTAATGCAAGTTCCTGTTTTCCCATTTATTGACTGACACCTCTCCTGTCCCCGTGTTGAGTGAAATCAGCAGGAGTAAGTGCAGAGGCGTTGTGTGGGGTGTCTAAACATGATGGATATTAGTTCTAGACTAACGTGAGCATGTATTTACTCACCTCACTTTCACAAAAACATATTCGGTATTCCTCAAAATGAATAAAAACAGTGAAATGCAAACTCAGAATATTACGCAAACCTGCAATAATTAAATATGTTAAATAATACAAATATACTTTATGTATTCTCACTTTATTAACCAATTTCTTTGGTGTTGACCATTGATGATTCATCTCAACATGCAAATAAGAAAAAATTACTTTAGTTAAACATAACATTTGTGTTTAATTTTTTTTATTGCTAAAGTACACACCGAAAAAACTAAGCCATTGCCCAATGGGCGACCATCAGCATGGTATGTCCTGGCCTTAAGAGTGTTGAGCTTTCTTCTCCTTTGTCCTATTCTTATTCAATCTAGAATGGCACAGCTGATTTTGGTTTGTTTGAGCTGCGCCCTCTACTGTACAGGTGTGAATGTGCATTTCATTCAGCCTGAGGCTTATTTATTTTACTTTTGGTGTGAAAGGGACTTTACATTTGCTTAAAAGACAACATTTCTGCGATTTTTTTGTTATATAAAAAAAGCAAGCGAGCCTAGCCCATGAAAAAGTTATGTAAAAGTAACTTTATTGTCAATTCTACTACTGTAAAAAATGATCGTGATTTTAATGGTAAAAGACTGTAAAAATGCTACAGTGCAAAACTGTTAATTGGTTAACAGAAAGTTTCCTTACTATATACCGTAAATAACTGTGATAGATTTAACGGTATGTAATTTTACTGTAAAATACCGTTAAATTTACAGTTTTTGAAAGTGAAAAGAACAACTCATTGTATAATTTACAGTGAAAAACCGTAAATTGACATTCCCACAATTCCCTGCATGACACTTCACATTTGATTTAATTTTGTTGAAATAACAATGTTTCTTCTTAGTTTTCTTAGTTCTTTTCTAATCAGTTATGTTCATTATGGTTTTATGTTACATTTAATGTTGTTAAATTAATGTTTATTGCATTTTTAAAATGTCATGTGTCCGTTACCATGATGGTGTTTAATGTTTGTGCGAATAAGACTGTGAAGCTTCAATATAATAAATAAACTTTCTTGTGGAAGAATGCTTGTGATGAGCTTTGATTTATCATGTGATGCTCATCACTGCTGTGATGATTGTTGGTTGTCAGTGTATGACAATGGTACAAAACAGATATTAATACTTCAATAAGTTGGTAAATTATCATTATATCAGATAATGAATTATGGTGTATTACTGTAAATTTTAAGTTAAGTCTGTAAAACCAAAAACGTTGATACCGTATTTTTGACGGTAAAGTTCTGGTAACCACAGCTGCCAGTTTTTTTCCGTAAAAACAACAGAATTTTTTTTACAGTGTATGTGTAATGATAATGAATGGCTGGCAGCAAGCTTTAGGACCCAAATGCAAACTTTAACAACACACTCGAACACAAAACAAAGGCATGGCGAGGCATGAAACAGAAAACTGAGAACAAGAACCTGGACCAGTAACATTCACACATAACATACAATACTAGACAAAAACACAGGGCAAACATGAGGGCTTAAATACACAAGACTAACGACAAGACAAGGGACACCTGTGAACAATAATCAGACGATTAACCAATGACAAGACACATGGCAGGATCACATGACAAACGGAATCACATGACAAGACAAGAACCAGGAACAAGAAACAAAACCCAAACCGTGACAGTATGTATGTACAGGACATACAGAGGATTGAAATTCCGTTTCCCTCAGACCCATGGTGTTAAACACCAACATAACACAAGACAAGTATTAAAAATAAATAAAATACAATACATACACAAAAACATCACTTAACATGAGTGTTTAAATATATTTACATTGTAGTCCAAACGATGCATAAGAGATAGCAGCAATTGTAAAAGTGTCTAGTGCATTGTGTGACGCATACTTTCCATAAAATGTAACTAAGTAATGTAATAAGTTACTTTTTTAGGGAATAACACAATATTGAAACCCATTACTTTTAAAAGTTTCCCCAACACTGATGGCCAAGACAAATTAGTCAACCAAACCTGTGCTTTATCGGCCACAATAGAAAGGCTGCAGAACACAGATATTGAGAATGTTGTGTCTAACATTGATATCACCAGACAACGACTTTTATTTGAAGTATGGAAACAACACTTGCTGACAAGACGATCTGTAAGTTATGTAAAACTACACCGCCTATTCTTCAAACATATTTGTCAGAATATGCCATTAGATGCGCTTCAGTCTTTCCTGCATCCAGATGTCTGATACGCGAACAAATGACTCTAATGCACTGGTTCTTTTTAATGAGTCTGTCAAAAAAAATTACGAAACAGCCTTGAATTTCCATGTAATGCCACGAACACACTACATGATTTGCCGGGGAACACTACAC